GACCCGGACGATTTGGTCGAGTACGAGGACCGGTTCATCGACTATGTGGTGGCTTTTGGGGTGATGGGACCGGCCTACGCGCTCCTGTTCTTCCTGATGCCTTTGATTGTGGTGCTTTTGATTGTGCATGTCAACATTTGGATGGCGCGCCGAGTGCAGGGCATGGTGCAGAGGGTGATTGGTAGGCTAAGGCAAATGATGCGAGCGGTCCTGTTTGGAGCGTGACGTCTGGGTACATTGTTGAGAGTGCTGCAGCATAGCGTATAGGCGCATGATTGAGCGTCATGGACGACGCATGGTTTGTCCGTTATGGGTTATGGTTTACGGTTATGGTTCTATGGGTTATGCACAGGATTAGCGGAATGGCATACATAGATAGCGTGTATTAGATGGGGTTTGGTGGTATGCTAGTGGTATTATTGTATACAAAGGCATTCTGATGATGGTTCCGTACATCTAGCTTGTATAATGTGATACGGAGAAAGTGTCTAAGAGAGAAAAAAACGTGAAATTGTTGACCATTGTTGACCATTGTGGTGAAGGGGTGGTTTAGTATGACGTACAATTTTTGGATCAAGATTTACTTGGACTTTTTTTTTTGCCTTCTTCACCGAACAAATATGACTGTTTTGAAATACCGGTATCTCTAGTAACGCATACATGTTGGTGTATATAAAAAAACAGAGTTACACAACCCGCATTTTTGCTTTAAAAATCCAACAGAAAAACGCATTGAAAGAAATCTTGATGGCAATGGCAAAGCATACATGCATTATTGGTCATGATATATATAAGTATGTATGTAGTGTAATGCAGCTTTTGTCTTCATCGTTACAAATCCAAGTACACACCAAATTCCTTGAATCTCCATGACACCTCCCCTCCGAAAGAAGAACGAAAAAAAGGGTATAAGAAATTAAGGTTTTTTGTTTGAATACAGACGAAACGGAAGTGAACCCAGAAAAGAAGAAAAGAAAAGAAGTTGGGATGTTGGGAGGGAGTAAAAGTTATGGTAATAAGTGGTAGTAGTAGTGGTAGTAGTAGTAGTAGTAGTAAGTGCAGGTAAAAGTTTAAAAGGAAGAAAAAAGAAAAGAAAAGGTAGAGGAAGTGAAAGAAAAGGATTAATACCTCACAACAGGAGCAGCAAGAGCATCATTACTATCCTGCACCAAGACACCTTCCTTGATACCCTCCTTTTCCATTTTGTGCATCCAATCGTCCTTTTTATCTTTTTTATGGATCCAGCCGCTAAAAATCTTTTTGAGCTTGGATTTCTGCTCCTCCTTGGCGGGGGCCTTGGGTTCGTTGGAAAGAGTTTTGAGGACGGCGGGTGAGTCGATGCTCATGCGGTGGGAAAAGTTGGAGACTTGGGCGGTGGTGTTGCTTTCGCCGCTGCGGGGGCGGGTTTGCGAGCTTGAAGAAGCGGTTTTGGTGTGCTGCTGCTGGTCGACATTGGTGGTTGATGAGGATGCGTTTGTTGCGAGTTTTTCTGTCGGTTTGGGGCTGGCTGATACGGCACTGGCTGGAACGGCACTTGTGGGTGTTTGGGAAATTGGTTGTGTGCCCTGCCGGCGGGAGGATTTGCGAGCGGGGAAGGCAGCGGTGTATTGCATGGCCAAAGTATCTGACCCACTCCTCCTGTGCTGTTTCCGTGCGGCAGGCGAGCGTTCTGGATGCTGTTCTTGTGGACGCATAAGACTTGCAATGTGTGTCTCGGCTGTGGGTGATTTGGGAGATGCCACTTCTTGCTTGGGCTTTTCAGGTTCTTTCCAGCTGTCCAGACTGGGCAATGGTGGAAGCTCTCTATTGAGGTTGACAGTATTCGACTCTGACTTTCTAGGTTGTGCACCGTCGTCTCCCTGGCCATGCGAGGACCCTGACCTATTTTCACTTCTCGTACTTTTCATGCGGCGCAGGCCCCAACTTCGCCAAGTTGCATTTGAGCCATTGCGAGAAAGGCCAGTGTCATTACTGTCGGCTGGCGAACGCAGGGATTCCTTGGATTGTGCGCGGCTGAGGGCGCGACTTCGAGATCCGGGGAATACATATTCGATGACGCTTTCCTTGATACTCGCGGCACGACTTGGCGGGCGGACCGAGGTCGAGGGTCGGCGCTGGCGATCTGCCGTGTCTTGTTGGCGCCTCTTGTCCATTTCTAGACGCATCCACTCGGATGCCTGGGCATCTGCAGCAGCAACGGGATCATCAAAGTTGTGAGGGGCAGAATTCTTTGAGGTTGCTAGAGTGGATGTAACGGTGACAGGAAGAGTAATGTCTTCGTTGGAGATGCAAGATATGGCGGGCCTGGGTACGTCCATGGAAGCTTTGCCAAAGCTGCGTAGTCTTTCATCCTTTTCAGCGTCTCGCTCAGCACGCTTGCGGCTGCTATTTGCTCGCGCGGGGAGATCACCATTCTGCCTTGCTCTTATCTCCATGTCTGCTTTTGCCCTGGTGCGGACCTTTGTGCTGCGCGATCGTGGCAGGAACGACGTTGAGGCGGGTTCTGGCGGGGCAGCAGCAGGCACACGCGCATTGACATCGGCGGGCTGAGGAGGTTTGCTTTCTTTGCGTGGCCTGAAGCCCAGGCCGGCGAAATCGAGCTTTGGGTCGGTATTCTCCATGCCATGGTCGGAGGGCTTGAAGTTTTTGAGGATGAGGTGACATGCTGCGCGCAGCTCTTGGTCGGTCTGGGTGTCGAGGACGCGGCGGTTGATCCAGGGCGAGCTGTCACATATGGTGTCTTTGGAAGAGTGTCTTTTGTGGGACGAGGCGTGTAGGGGGTTGGTTTCTGGCGTCATTTTGCCGGCAAGGTCCTGCTTGGAGGCGGTTTTCTAAAAGAAGGAGATGTGAGCAAGTGGATCGAGGATTTTGGTGGAGTACGCACGACAGGAGACAGAGTGAAGGAGAGTTTGCGGGCCATGTGGATTACGACTACTAAATAGACAGTCTGGGCAGTGGCAAGCTGGGAAAGCGTAGAGGAATATTATTAGGTGCAAAGGCGTGGTAGGAATAAGCCTGAGTGCGGCCGACCAGTGCGCACGGCTGCAGTGATGACGGTGTGCGGGAGGGCGTGCGCGTACGTAGTGATAAAGTGGTAGAGTATGTATGGTCGGCTAGCAATGGCCCGACAGAGCTACTGCCGACTACTGCAGCGAAACCGTAGTTGTGTTTGTGGGGAGAGGTGGTGGGAAGTGGGCATGCGTCTAGTGCGCGCGCCGGAGAGGAAGAAGAAAAAAAAAAGAGGAGAAGAGGACGGACATGGGATGGGCAAGTATAGGCAGGCAGGCGGGCAATGGTGGCTCCCGCCAGGAGGTGTTTGAGTTTCAGAATGGCAGCTAGCAGCAGGACAGGGTGCGACCCAATCCGCCATGCGCAGACCCAGTGCTACCACAACAGTCGAGAACACGGAGAGACGCTGGGGTTGCGGCCAATCACTGCTGCAACAAGCGACCTGTCCTCGACCTCAGCTTACCACATCCGCCACGGCTGCATGGGTGGGGGGGAACAGGGCGTGTCTCTACTCGTCGTGCAGGCAATCCTTCAGCTTCAGACATATATATCTGTGTACATGGCCGGAGGGGAGACATCCAAGGCGTTGTCGCTGTCCGCTGCTCACTGGGTACGAGGAGAGGAATCAGCTATGATGACATGGTCTGGCTCGCCGCATCCATGTACCTAGAGCGAGCGGACGGCGCTATTGAATTTAAGCGCATATAGCTGTGTGCATGTGTACTGGACTGGATGCTTGGATGGATGGATTGATTTACATGGGCTCTCATAGACTACTGACTACTTACTGACTATTGTAAGTAATGACTGTTCGATTCGATCCAGCTTCAGCTCCACCCACCATCCCAAATCCCCCACAGGCGCTCTGGACGCCGGCTGCCCCTCCCTCTCTCTCTTGTCTTGCTCTCCCTCTGTGCGCCGCTCCCAACTGTCGCGTCTGCTTGCGGGGTGCAGCATCTAGTGTGTACTTATGTATAGGGACATGTAGAGTAGGCAAGTATCACAGCATACGCCCCATCCGCCGTCCAACCGCGACCAGCCTCGTGCTTCCAAGCATCCCGCCAGTCTTGTGTTGGCGAAACCCACCTTGGCCCTGCCACTGGCTGGCTTATTTCCCTCGCATGCCCACAACCCAAACAGCCTCCGGGCGGGTCAATGCTGTGCACCGACCGCACAGAACAGACCTCCAAACGGTCGCTTCAACGCCTTGTACCTGCTGCTTGGGGCCAAACAGTCCGCCTGCTCTCTCGTATCTCGGTCCATTACGGGTCCCCATGGCCCACGGCCCACGGCCCACGGCCCACTGAAGTTCTCATCAACACACACGAGCAATTCCGGCTACAAGCCCCTCACCTAGCTTTGTTGTTGTGTCGTCTGCCCGCCAGCGCATGCTTGGTTACTTTACTTGGATGTTGCGAGTCTGCCCATGTCTGCTGTGGGGTCCGTGCCGTTCAACGGGAAACAAGAAACAAGCAAAAAGTCGATGCAGACGGCGAGGCCAAGAATGGTTTTGACTCGAGCCCTGCCTCGTTGAACCAACATCGCCCCCTGCCCCCACGTGACATCACCACGTGTACCGCCCTACACCCAATGCACCCAACCCGCCTGGGATCCGTCACAACATCCATGGCAAGCCCTTGGACATGCCATGCACCATCAAAACCGCCATCGGTCACAGCAACCGGATCGCCTGTTGCAAACACGATGCTGACGCCAGACTTTGGGCCCCAGGCACGTGCGTAATTGCGCTTGCTATAAATGACGAGATAGTTTGGAGCAGTGTTCCATGTGCACCGCCTGTGTCATACGTACACGTCAGTCCGTCTTGCGCTTGGCCAGTTGTTCTCAGAAAACGTCCATGCATCTCCCAGCAACCCTAGAAGTCGAAGCCATGGAGAGGCTTCAGCGGCTCCCGCTGCTCCTCGTCGCCTTCTTGCAATGTCAAGAGATGCACGGCAGCTTCCTCCTCGCGGGCTCCCACGCCCTCAGCGATGAAGTGCCCGTGTCTGCATCATGCATTAGACTACATGCTGCACGACAGACGCCATTATGCTCATCACCGCAGAGAAGCCAAGCACGTCTCGTCGACACAACTCCCCACCGCCCGTGATAGGCTCAGCACTGTTGCAGACCGGCACCATGGACACTCAAGGACTCCACGAGGCGAGCTCAAGACTCAGCCCAGACATGGCCGGCTCCCCATATCGAGGCTGGAGATGAGCGAGGCATGGATGCGAATACGAGCAGTCACTCCAATTCCAGCCATACCGCCACAGCCTGCGAGTTGTACGGATTCGACTTATTCTACAGATTCCATCGATTCTACATATCCTACAGATTCCACAGGCTCTACACGTTGTACAAGCAGCCACCAAGACCATGATAGCCGAGGAGAGAAAAAAGTGCGATGGGGCGTGGTACACACGCGCGAATTCGACCCTCCGCCAGAAGACAATGACGAGCAACCAAGCAACAAGGCCGATGCGAAACCACGATAACAACAACAACAACAGCAGCAGCAGCAGCAGAAGCAGCAGCGGTGAAGAAAGAGTTGAGCAATAGAAGCGGAACATGGCCTTTGGTCCAAAAGGGAAACGACAAGAAGAATCGTGGGGTCATACACTACCAGGCACTCTGCCAGGCCACCCAGACGGTCGGCGAAGAAGCGGGGCGCCCTGTTCAGCTCATCCTTTTCGTACATATGTACGTACATACATGCGCACATCTGTATGTTTTGTCCACTACACTCGTTGACGACACACTACAACTTGGGCTGGTCTGTAATATTGTCCGTACCTGTTGTTGTCAGGCGCGTCTGGTGAGTTTAGTTGGTGATTGGCGCACTCCGGCCCCAATGGCCCACCATTGCCGGATACCGCCTTCCCCGCCCTTGCGCCTTCCCCACAACCCGCTACGCATGTCTTGCTGAGAGCCCACACCACTGCTCCTTATCACCCGTGAACACTTCTGCGCATGGATTGCAGCAGGCCAGGGCATTCGATTCATAATCCATTTGCACTCTTCTTCATTAGGCTTAATATGTCCGAGTGTAGTAAAAACGGGAGCGTAATTGCATAATGACAAAGCACCATGCTGCACAACCTCGGGCGGGAACTGGACGGATATGGGAAGAGGGGAAGCTGTCTGCAAATCACTTTGGCCGAGAATCTCCATGGTATTCCCCACCACTCACTGCGTCATGCCGGTGCTATACCGCTTGCTGGGTTTTTGTAAGCTTTTCGATGGTCATGTCACTCGTCCGCACGGCAGGACAGGCGTTGCGCTGGTTGCACATATAACGTGGCTTGCTTTTTACTCAGCCGAGCGAGCTCGTCTCTTGTATCCCCCCTTTAGACCGCTCAATCCTTCTTCCATCCCCTAATCCTTACATTCTCGAGTACTTTCATCATGGGCGGCTCGCAACCATGGCATCAGGTTCCGGTCCAGAACAAAACCCATACCGATGCTGCAGTTGTCATCATCGGGGCCGGCATCTCTGGTCAGTATCCCAGTCAGACTGCCTGATCGTACTGGGCTAAATATCTAAAGGCATGTGCATGGCTATTGATCTCATCAAACGCAACAAATGCCACAACTTCATCATTGTAGAAAAGAGTTCTAGTGTTGGTGGCACATGGCATGACAACAAATATCCTGGTTGCTGCTGTGATGTCTGGAGCATGCTGTACAGCTACTCGTTTGAGCAAAACCCAGAGTGGACGAGAGAATATCCAGGGCAAGAGGAGATACTCGACTACCTTCGGAATGTAGCACGCAAGTACAACCTGTACAAATACATTCGCTTCAACACCGCCGTCGAGGCTGCGACGTGGGACGACTCCAAAAACCGATGGAGAGTTGACGTCAATGTGATCGGTAGCAAGGATGCTGAGTTTGCCTCTGGATACAGCATCGAGTGCGACTTTCTGGTCTCGGCAGTCGGCCAGCTTAATCAGCCTCGATATCCCGATATACCAGGCCTGCAAGACTTCAAAGGCAAAGTCATGCACTCTGCACGCTGGGATTGGAGCCACACCCTCGAGGGGAAGCGTGTTGGAATCATTGGAAACGGTATGTATCGCAGTGCTCAGTGGTTCGACAAGCTAGCTCAACCAAACAAACAGGTGCAACAGCTGCGCAAATCATACCCGACATTCTGCCTCAGATCTCCTCCTTGACAGTATACCAGCGCTCTCCCAACTGGGTCATTCCACGTCTTGACAGTCCTATCAGCGACTTCAGGCGTGCCCTCCAGCGCTATGTGCCCCCTGTCAGCTGGCGCATTCGCAGCATGATGATGGATTTCCGTGAATCCTTCTATGATGCCGTAAGCAATAACCAAAGCCCCATGGCCAAAGATGTCCGTGCCGCCTGCAAGGGCATGATGGAGAAGCAGATTCCCAACCGGCCTGATCTCTGGGAAAAACTCACTCCAGACTACAACCCAGGCTGCAAACGCGTCATCATATCCGACGACTTTTTTCCCGCTCTCGCGAGCCCAAAGACACAGCTTGAGACCACAAAGATACGCAGGGTTACCGAATCGGGCATTGAACTCGAAGACGGCACACACCACGACCATGACACCATCGTCCTCGCCACGGGCTTCCGTACCCTCGAGTTCCTACACCCCATTCACGTGACCGGGACACAAAACCGCGGCCTCTCCTCCATCTGGAAGGGTGGTGCCTATGCCCTATACGGCACCTCTGTACCCTCACTACCTAATTTTGGTATGTTTTACGGACCCAACACGAACCTAGGCCACAACTCAATCATCCTCATGATCGAGGCCCAGTCGCGCTATCTCAACGCCCTCGTTGCCGCTGTCCTCGACGCCCGCAACCGTGGCAAGCGAATCGGCCTTGTGCCTAACGCCCAGCGCACAAAAGTGTACAATGATGAGCTCCAGCAGAAACTTGCCACGAGCTCGTTTGCGGACCCGAATTGTAGCAGTTGGTACAAGAACAGCGAGGGGCGAATCACGAATAATTGGTCTGGCACGGTGATTGACTATCAGGAGATGATGAGCAAGGTTGACTGGGAGGATTTCGAGGTCACAAGCGTCAAGCCTGTATATAATGGTAATGGTGTAAATGGTAAGGGTGTACATGCTGAAAAGGAGGGTGGAGTAAGAGCCAGCAAGGTCGTCTTTGGGACTGGAAAACAGACGACCAAGATCGGACGTGTGCATGAGGAGTCGTACGTAAGTAACACAACGTTGGTCCTCGGGACCCTGGGAGCAGTGGCTGCAGGAGCTGCAGCATGGATTTATCGAGGAGATCTAGCAAAGAGACTGGGGAAGTGAGAAACTCTTCTTCTTCTTCTTCTTCTTCTTCTTCTTCTTCTTCTTATTCTTTCGGCTATATAGAAATTCAGTATGACCATGTGGTAATTCCTTCATTCTGCCTCATTCAATTCCCTTTTGTTAAACTCCTAGTTACATAAAAAACAGCTTTCCTTCAAGTCACCCTTCTCCCCATTAACAACAACCAACCCTATCAAAACCCCTGCATCCCCCTCCACTTGCCCTCCCACCCTTCAAACCACGGACTCTCCCCCAACGTCTCAGCCTCCCACCCTTCCTCCACCCACCCCTTCGCCACCTGCTCCTCATGCCACGCCCTTAGCACATCCTTGACCACATGCTCCACATGCCACGTCCCCTTGTACTCCATCAACTCCTTTTTCCCCTCTTCCAACACTTTCAACAGTAACCCTGGGACCCGGGGTTCATCCTTGAACTCTTGTACTGGTGTGAACAACGCTTTGAAGTTGAATATCACGGCGCCTGATAGTGGGAGGCGGCGGAGCGTTTGCCAGTCTACGCGCAAGTGGATGTCAGAGAGCGGGAGAAGGGAGGCGGGGAGTTGGTGAGTGCGGTGGGTGAGGAGGGGGGAGGAAGGAGGGGCGTAGAGCGGGGTCTTTATTTCGAGACCCCAGGAGCCGCGTTGGATGGGTTTGTCGGTTGGTTTTTTAGAGAAGTATCTTTTTTTTTCACATTACGTTAGCAAAACATTTCCCCCTTTCCAATCTACTACTCAATTCCATATTGACATTTTCTTTCTTCTCCTTCTTCTGTTCTACTTTCGCTTTTGGGACGGGAAAGGGGATGGGGGGGGGGGGGTTAGATGGAAAAGGAGAGAAGAAAAAAAAGAAGGAGAAACAAACATACCTATCCATTGAAAACGCCATTTTCTCCTTATAATCCGGAATCGGCGCATGAATATCCGCAAGATGCTTGCCCAGCTTCGTCCCTAGATTCCAGCCCAACGCACTGCAAATGACGCCCGCGCGCAGTACATAGCGGCCGCTGCGCTCATCGCGCAGCATGACGGCAAAGTCCTCGGGGACATTGTCGAGCAGCACGTGCAACGGGTGTGTAGCGCAGAGATTGGTTTCAGAGTTCAAGATGCGGTTTTGCAGCATCGACTTGTCGGCGGAGAGGGAGAAGTAGTGCGGGTAGCGGGCGCAGAGGAATTGTACGGCTGTTTCCATGAGTTCTTTGCAGGCGAGCTCGGAGCCCGGGAGGGCGTCGAGGACGTCGGTGCCGTGTTGGGTGAAGAGGGTTTTGCGTTGTTGGATGCGTTCTATGTAGGTGTTTTCGAGCTCGATCCACCAGTCCGGTTGGAGTTTGCTGAGGGCTGGTTGGGTTGGTTCTTAGTAAAGTTCATAGGTGTTTCTTGTTTTTTTTTGTAGGAAGATAACTTACACATGGTTTGGTGGTATGGCCATCGGAACGGTCGATATGGTCGAGGTAGTGCCTTGTTTATGTCAAACTCGGGACATGGGTTTGGAAGTGGTACGCCGCTGAGGGTAGCATAGTCAGGGAAGTTGCCGAGAGCCTTGATCTCTTTGACGGAAAACCCGCAGGGGAGACGTTTTGTGTCGTCGGCTTTCGAGTACGACGTTTCTATTGGCAGCATGTTCTTCGTCCAGTCCTCCGTTGGCTCGTCGAGTTCCTCATCTTTCAAGATCCCGACTAGGGTTGATCGCCGTGATGGTGGGAACGAATCAGAGTAGTCAACTTCGAGAGGAATTTCCGTCTTTTGGCTGGGTGAAAGAGATCTTGGAGGGGTTCTCGCTCCTGATACTCTTCGCCCGCCAGCGCGAAGTCGCTCAAGGAGAATGGTGCGTCTGCTTCGTCGAAGAAGGGCCAAAGCCGAGCCAACGAGGAAAGCCGCACCCAGCAGCAGCAAAAGATTGAACGGCATCTCAGACCACTGATTTCTTGATTTCTTTTTCCTTTGTTCTTTGGTACCGATAATTTTCTCTCCACCTCAGAATACCCGCAAAATGTGGCGGGACAAAGTGATTTGTACGGCCCCAAAGCTGAAATCGTCAAGATAGGCCCAGCCCGTCTACACACTGATAAAACAAACGAAAGCTAGCATGGATCAAGCCAACCGCCTTTCACAGCAAGCAAAACAAGATACAGATTCCTTATCAATGCAACCTGCGGGGCGCCTTCCGCTTAAGTACATGTATTACAAGGTGCCATGCACGACTACCCGGGAAAAGAGCCATCAGCAGGCTGCGATGATACGCAGGCGATCGCATATGGCACATCCTACCCCATGGATGACGACTGCAACTTATAGGTCCGTATCGCCGTGTGCACAGCATCAGCATAATGCTGGTGGGGGTGCCCTCAGCGTAGATCGCTGCGCGAACGCATGAAGCTAACCTGGTCTAGTATCCAAATCCCAATCCTCTTGGCAGAGGAGCGCGCAGATTGAGTTGGCTATCTTTCACTGGCCTACCAATCGATCGAGTTCTCAGTCGAGCCCTGTGCGGTGCATGCTGCGCGGCTGACTTGAGCGCCTTGCCGCTGTCGGCAATGTACAAAGGTTACTATCGGCATTCTAGACTTTCCTTCTACTCGTTGGCATGGAACGACGTGATTGGGGAAGGACGGCATTTGCAGTGCCGTAGTGGTCTGATATCCGGTAGTCAAGGTTAGTGAATTGCTCTGAGCAGTGACATGCATTTGACCAAGTCGGAATAATGTTCCTGCACCATATGAGCCCTTACTGCAATGGGCTTGCATAAAAAAAGTAAGGTTCTTAAGAGAAAAGCAGCAGCATGTGCAATTGACCTTGGATATCTGGCTCGCGTGAAAGTGGACTGATCTCATCGAGTTATCAGAGGGACGATGAGGTAAACGGCTTGGTAGATACAAAAAAGCAACGCTCTGGTTGCTGACCAATTGTCGGGCGATGAGACGCTTCCGGAGCCCGCCAGTGACCCTTGCATGTAGCTAGCCAGATTTTGGGCTATAAGAGAGTACATATGTGAGGATAAAGATGTGGGTGACAGAGTCGATCGTTGCTGTCACGGCTGCCACTAGTAACCGCGCGTGTCATGTACCCCGCACTCAACTAGGCCCGCATCCCACGGAAATGTAAGCATCCAGCCTTCTATGTGGAAGATCCTGTCCTGATTATGACCTCGGTATAGAAGATCGTGGTGATACAAAGAGGAGAAATCGTACAGGTCGACAATATGTGACAAAGCATTGTCGCGCCAGGATCATCGTCACATGAACAAGAATAAGCTTTCGATCGGTACACTACCCATGGTATATTCACCCTCCGCCCAAGAAGGTCTTCACAGCACAGAACTCCAATCCTCACCCTTCATGTACTCCTCCATCGTCGTATACTTGACCTTGACCTCCATATCCCACGGAAAGACAACGTCAGCCCCACCATCAAACCCATACTTGTCAAAGTACTCAAACATGTCTGCAATCTCAAGCCCGTATATCGGTCCCATTGCCTCTTCCATCGCCTTGCGAGGTATAATCTGAAAGACGCATTTAACATTGTTAATGCGACCAAAGATTTCGCACCACTCATTAAACGAAATGAACGAGCCGGCGCCGCTCAGAACAATACCTGGAGGCGATTCGACCAATGCCTTGGTGAAATGGCCTTTTTTGAAACATATTAGCCTCTGCACAAGAGAAAAAAGAACCAAGCCGACGCGAAAAAGAAGAAGAAGAAGAAGAAGAGACGTGAATATCTTACCAGTATCCGCAACCGGATCCGCCATGGGTATCTTCCTCTCCCCACTCATGGGCAAACTAACAACAAACGACCCATCCGCCTGCTTCGTGGGTCTCCCACTAAACGACTTCCAATTACTAGCATAGTACCCCAAGTGCACGAAGCTTGTTTTCGCCAGCAAATCCGGATACGTAGACTTGAGGTAATTCACCGCCTCGGCTTTGGCATCGAAATGCAAGTTCCACTTGATCGTCCCGTTGCTCCACTTCCTCGCTTCGGACAAAGTGGAGAGTACAAAACGGTCGAGTGTGGCTAGATTGGCGGCAGCGGCATCGATGATGGATTTCGCCTGGGATACCTCACGGTCGTATGCTACTTCGTTTGGTGTGCGGTTTTGCGAGGCGGCGAGCTTTTGCGTGGCGGGGTCGTTGAGGTGGCCCCAGAAGTCTGTGCCGCCGAATATTACGTTTGCGCCTTGGAAGGCTCGCTTGAGGGAGCTGACGTCGTCCAGGTTGCCGGGGACGATGTCGACGCCTTGGGATGCCCATTTTTGGGCAGAGGGCTTGGACGGGTCCCGGGCGATGCCACGGACTTTCCATCCGGGCTCGGCGAGGAATACACGGGCGACGGATGAGCCCTGAGATGTTCAGTGTCTTGTGCAACAATGTTGGGGTGGTGGTGGGTTTTAGTTCATACTCACCTGGTTTCCTGTCACGCCGATGACAGCGATTGTCTTTGTCATGATTCTGTGCAGATGGATAGTCGACTCCGGATTAGTTTGCAATTGACAGATGGATAGAGAGTTGGTGAAGTTCGAGACCAAAAGAATTTATATACTGCAACGATTTGTGATCCGGTACTGTTCGTCGACGATCTCATCTCCAAGCTACAGGCCAAGCTGCCATCAAAGAAGAATGTAATCACCAGCAAATTTCTTGGCCAAACTTTACTTGTTATGCACCGGGCATAGTCAGCCTCTCGCGTCGTAAGATAGATGACATCCAGCAAATAGATAGGTGTTTCCTGGGTTTGTTTCTGCACTGTGCTTGAAAGGGCTATCGGCACTGTAGCAGTCGGACAAAAACACCCCCGCATTCCACTGTCTATAGCCAGTCATACCATGGATTTGAAATACAACATCTCGCTGACACAGAACAAGAGGAGGAGTTACTAATAAGCTTTAGGTGTTACTAAGCTGCTAAAGTACAGCTGTCGTACACTAAATCGAATCAGGAAAGTCTTGGCATATACCATGCATTTCTGCGTATCGTGTAACGGCGGGGCAAACAGGCCATTGTCTATGTCTATATGGAATTTCGACTGTAGCGTTCCCCTAATCCTTCTCAGATGTACTTTCCAGATATATTGCTAAGAGGCAAAGCAA